CCCTACCGTTTTCAACTTAACGAAAGTTCACGAGGGGATCGGTCCCACATTGTGGGAAATGTGGGTATAAAATGTAGAGGATCAGCCCCATACGTTGGGATTTGGGAAGTAAATTTGGGTATAAAATGTAGGAACCAGTCCCACATCGTAAAGTTTGTGAAGTACAGGCGCTTTCACGAGAGGCATGGAACTTCTTAAATATTAATGATTACTTTTTTTTCTTCTTTTCTTTTTTGGGTGATTCAACAAGGATTTCAATAGATTGGAAAGTTACATTTACTTTTTTTTCTTCTTTTCTTTTTTGGGTGATTCAACAAGGATTTCAATAGATTGGAAAGTTACATTTTGAAGGTACTAATTAGGGGTGTCAATAGTAGGACTGCATATCATGATGTGGTAACTAGGTGTGGGGATGCTACCACCACGACCCAGCCCCTTTCTTGAAAAGTAGTAAGTCTGTGGGGATTTGGACCCCTACTTGTCAGAGAAAATGGAATTAGAGACCTCACCATAGGCTTGGCAATACTACAGCCGAAGCCTTACGTGACCCCAAGAAAATGATAGTGAATACAAAGACTAAACTAAATTTTCAAGCCGAAAAACAAGGCAAAATGGACACCTTCAACAAGCCACTTGTTAAAAACTTGGCTAAGTGAATAAGTTATAATCATTTAAATAGCAATTAATACCATTTCGAGCCTTCCAAAATCGTTGTAAATAAACTCAAATACCAACCCCTTATGGGGCAATTATATATAAATCAATATTAGCTTATGAATTACACTTTCATAACACAAATTACATAAACTATGTCCCAAAGCTTAAATACAACATACAACTAATCTAAACAAAATTCTAAAGAATAAAATTCACTAAACAGAGAATTAAAATACCAAATTAAAATAAGAAAGCCATGTTTCGAATCCCTTGTGCCGGGGCCACACAATCAGGCCCAATAAGGACATAATTTTGCCCCTTCAGTTGGTACAAAAGTGGTTCAATCTCATAAGAGTATCTAATCCAAATAGGAAAAAATTACACATCTTAAAATCACTTCTTAAGATCTCAACACAGTGGCATTATCATCCAAAACAGAATGCAAAAGGTTTGAATCGAATCGGATAAAGAACAAGAGAGTTATGACCAAACTACACATGGTGATCCCTTAGACTACCAAAACAGTCTTGCATGGAAAGATTATGAACCCCTATAGGTAAAACGTGGTGAAAATGTTCTGGAAATTGAGTGACACTCTGAGGCTAAATTATTTGATGGATTTGAAATAAAGTAATCAATGGATACTATGCATGATCATGGATTCTCATACATATAGGCTATAACTCATGAAAGACCACACTATGAATAAGCATGATGAAAAAGATGATCAAATGGGGATTTTAATATCAATGAAATTTTTGTAAATTCAAAACTCCAACAACTATAGATGCAGAGAATATGATCTTATGAGAAAAAAAAATTCAATGGAGTTTACTTTGATAAACACACACTATGGACTTAAGTATAAGAAAGGAGGGCCACCATCAAGGTCACCATTAATAGAACTCTAAAAGCTCTCTCTCTCCAATTTTCCCTCATAAAACCTTAAAAAAATTGGGGCGGGGGGGGGGGGGGGAATGGTTCAAAAGTAAAGAGATAGTTAAGGTTTGAGATCTCATCATGTGCTTTTATAACATAGGCGTAACCTTGGATTTAATCAACACCCTTGATGCACTAATCCAAAAGCACATGAGAGCCTAATGTACCTAGCCACCTGTTCTCATATAACCACTAGGATGAAGGGATGTGATTTCACACCATTATCACTCACCCTAACCCTAAGTTGTTCCACTTTACTATTTTGTCCTTAGCCCATCTTTTTGTTCTAATTGTATCCAATATGGCCTTACAAAAATACCTTTAGTTTTTTTAATAATGCATTAGAGTAGATAACTATAAAGGCTAAAGGACAAAGAAATAATTAACTAAGCTCACACATGTGGAGATTCCACTTTATCAAAAGCAATCACTTTGTAAATCTAAAATTTCAAATCAATTAATTTAAAGATTATTTCCCCTTCACACATGTGTGTGAAGATATTTTTCAATTCAAATTTGAAAATGTATTTTCTCTTTAATATCACATAAATAAATTAATTAAACTTTACACATGTCGTGCATGATCCATGTGTGAGTTAATTAAGACATGTGATAAAAAAGGGGTATTAAGTTATAACATTATATAATAAAACATAGCAATATATAACAAGACACCGTAACACAATCCCTTATAAAACAAGCAACCAATTGCCAATTTGGTCCCCTGCCTAAGGATCAGTGCTTAGCTAGGCGGTGATCTTAGAGTGAGGTGTGGGGTGCCACGTGGCTGCCATATGGCCACTCGGACACCACATGGCACTACCAGGTCAGCACTAAAATGGAATTGAGTCAAACAATTTAAAAAAAACTCATTTTTTTAGCAAATAAAATTTCGAAAACATTATCTAAAATTTACAATAAATATTTAAATTATTATTGAGTAATTATTAGATTTTCTCATCATTATAAAATCAGACAAAAAGTATAGTGAGATCTCAGGCTAATAACTATAGGTATCAGAGTACACCATTGAGCTAGACCTGAATGATATTCCATCGAGTCTCAGATCGACCCAATAGATCTATGTTCCACAATCTAAAGCAGGGACACATAATTGGCCATATCAAAGCTACTGAGAAAGAACTTTCGCTCATCCGGCTCTCAATGGATTACAAGTGTATCCCTGTGGAACATGATCTAACTCAATTACATGGGTTCATCTCAAAACACATGTGCACTGGCTCTTCTAAATTCAGATAATACATTTGCAAGAGTGGCTTCCCATATGAAATGAAAATGCATATGTCATATAATAGTCTCATGTCATAATACGAACTTATGTCGCATAAGTCTTGACCACTCCATACAGGGCGAATACTTAATAAGTACTCAGATATTTTTCTCGTTTGGATTCTCCAAGCTTTGGCCGATTGCAGCTAAACATGAAGCTCACCTATAAAATCCGTACTAGGAGGTGACCTTCACACCTCCGTGAGAAATTGGTTTCTGAATACGTGAACTCTCGATGCCTCAAGTGTATTCGGGGTAAAAGAATCTGGGCTCCATTCCACAAGACGCTAAGATTTCAATCTCTCAATCGCGCCCACTGAATGAGAGACTATTGAAATTTAGGCCTTGATTGGCCATATTTCTAACAGAAAAAAACTTTAGCAAATAAAAGTGAAATTTAAGTATATAGAAAGTGGCGTAATGATGAGCTTGACGGTTCTAAAAAATAAGTAAATGTGTGTATAAAATGAAGGGGACTAGTCCCACATCGTAAGGTTTGTGAAGTACAAGTACAATCGCTTTCACGAGAGGCATGGAACTTCTTAAATATTAATGATTACATGTGAGGTAAGTTTTTTTTTTTTTTGGTAATTCAACGAGGAAGACAAGCCCCTACCCATTTTTTCAATAGATTAGGGAATTACATATTGAAGGTATTAATTGGGGGTGTCAACGGTAGGAATGGATACCATGATGTGGTAACTGGATGTGGGGATGCTACCACCACGACCACAACCTTTCTTAAAAAGTAATAACTCAGTGGGGATCTGGGCCCCTACCCTTTGGTGAAAATGGAATCAGGGACCTCATCATGGGCTAAGCAATACTATCGTCAAAGCCTTACATGGCCCCAAGAAAAAAATTTATTAAAGGAAAAAGTTTATATAAGTATGCAACCTTATAATGTAGAACTACGGATGCACCTCAAAAATCCATCGAAAAAGGTAGTTTTAATGTTGAAAAGCCATTTGATTGATCATCACGACATCGAGATGTATGACCATGAAAAATAAAAAGATTTTAAGTCTCAAAAATAGTGCATTTTACAACACATTATCTACACCGTTC